GAATGAATTGTCAGTTACTTTTTGGCCTACCCGGGCCTGGAATTCTGTTTCCTGATTCTGGTCCCTTTAACCCTCGATGTGGCTGTGTGTATGAGAGTCCAAGAAAATGATCCCCCATGTTATTCCATTAGCACATCCAATGGGATCAGTTTACCAGGTTATGTATGGAGTTACCACCCTGGAAAGTACAAAAACGGAATAAGATAGGTGAGTGATGAACTTGGGGGCTGGTGGGGGCGAGCATGAGAGCTGGGCCGTCCCTGGAGGGAGGATCTCCAGCAGACCTCAGGAGACCGTAACATTTCCTGCATCCGAGAGCGCTTTACAGTTACTAAAGCGCTTTGTGCATCACTTTCCTGGCTCCTTACAGGGTAGAGCTGCAGGTGTTTTTATCTTACTTTATGGGTGAAGCAGGAAGCCCTGCAGGAGTTAAGAGCCTGGGCCATCAGCTTATTAGGCTCAGGGGCAGCGCTGCACCCGCTCCGGTCCCAGGTCCATGCTTCCCTCTTCCTCCCACTCACTTGGGTTAGCAGGGGGTGCAGAGCCTCGTGTGTGCATGTGCTCGGGTACACACGGTGTACATAGAAGTCTTTCCCCGTGTTGCCCCGCGGGGGCCTTGCTATCTGCCAGCCAGGGACATAACAGCAGGTGATTGTAGGATGAGGGGCCCTGGCACTCAGGGGAGAGGCTACTCAGGGACCCCACGCAGTGGTGGGAAGACTGAGACGTCTTGGCCCAGCTCCGCTCCTTTCAGCCTCTCAGCTCTGTTTCTTGGTGTCTCTTCCAGTCCCCAGGCTTCTCGGGTTTCCGATTTCCTCTGTCAGTTTCTCAGACGCAGTCCTGGGGCTCCGAGTCCCATTTCCAGCCACTCTTACTTATCTAGCGGTCGGAATGGGAGAGGGGATTCCGCTGAGGGTGTGGCCCCTGGAGTAGAGGGACTTCGGGAGCTGGGGACTTCTGGACCCAGAAGAGAGGTGCTGGGGAGGGTGGGTGATAACTAAGCCGGCCACCCCCCGCCCTCCACCAAAACCCAAGACACCCCCACTCCCAGTCCTGCTCCGGACAAGGCAAAGTCACGCTGCCACCACCCGAGGCCACTCAGCTGCTCCTGCGGGCAGGGCCGCGCCGCCCAGGGCACCCCCCTGCCCCACCCGCGCCGCCGGCCCCCAGCCGGACTCGAGTCCGCTCCAGATCCGTCCCGGGTTTCCCCCGCGTCGCTGGGGTCTCCGCCCCTCGGAGCCGCCGCCCGGGCCGCGCTGGAGCGACGCCGCGGGAACCGCACGCGCTGCGCGGCCCAGAACCCACTGGGTGCCCGAGCCGGCGTAGCGAACTGAGCTGCGACGCTGGCCCCACGCTGGCGTTCGAGGTCCCAGTCGGGACCCGACGGCGCGACCTGGGCCCCGCGCGTCATCCTCCTCTGACTCTCCGGGCTCCAAAGCTACCCCCATCTCGGCGAGGCTCGCTGTCTGCGCCGGCTCCGCCTCTCAGCATCCCGGCCTGGCTCCGGCTCCGGCTCCGGTGAGGTAGGGGTAGGGAGCCCCGCAGGGCCCGGGGGCGGGGGGCTGGCGTGCTCCTCCGCGGTGCAAAGGGGGCAGCAGGAGACCGCCGCCCCCCAGGGGGAGAGAGCGGCTGCGCCCCCTGCTGCCTGACCCTTCGCGTCAGTGACCTAGATACCTGAGATCGAGACTTCGCCCCAGGTGTCCAGGGGCGCTTTCCTGCCATCCCTCCCCCCAACCTCTGTCTCCATTTGGCTCGCACCTGTCCCTAGGGTCCGGTGCCCAGAGGCACCCTTGCCAAGTAGACAGCTTCCTTCGGAATCTCCACCCGACTGCTGCCCCCCAAGCCTCTACTACAGGAATGGGGCGGAGGGAAGACCCTCACCAGGAAAGACCCTCCAGTAAAGTCTCCCTCCTCCACTATGTGGCCTCTGGACCACCCGCCTCCCCCGCTCGCTGGGCTGTCTTCCTCTGTCCCTGCCTCTGCTCCCGGGGCCTTCCAGCCCGCCCCACTTGGTCTCATCTCCCTTGTCGCTGTTTTCGAGGTGTTCTCTTCCAGCCTCTTTTCTGACTTTCTCCTCCCCGTGACCCCTTTCCTCCCCACACCAGGAAAAGGGGGTGTGTCATGCTGCTTTCTATTTATGGTCTCCCTGGGGAGGGGGTGCGCTGTAGGATTTTTTTGGCATCTGCCGGGCCCGGAGTCACGAGATGTCATGTCTGTGATTCGGTGTCTGTGCCTCCGCCCGCTCCCCTTTCTCATCTCCTGCGGCTCCGCATCTCCCTTGTCGCCTTTGTCTCCTTTCCGCCTCCCTTCCTGTCTCTTTCGCTCTCATCTTCGGGCGCTTTGTGTAGCTGCCTTCTTTGTCTCCTCCTCTCCACGTCCCTGCTCCCTTGCCTCCCTCTCCTCCCTCTCCTCCCTCCCCCGGTTCCTAGAAGCCTACGGCCTCAAGGGCGTCAATATTTCAGGTGTGTGGGGTGCGGTGGGAGAGGGGTAGGGGTGGTGGGCTCCCAGCATGCCCAGCTATGCCTCTGATCACCCCCTCCCCAGAGTGATCATTCATATTTATGAGATTAAAAGAATGGCCCCAAGGATGTGGGAATTCAGATGGGGAGGGAAATGCTGTCCCTCTTGCTGGAGCTTGGGCCAGAAGATGCCTGAACTACATCTCCCACAGTGCCCTGGAGGCTAGGGGCTGCCTCTACCTCTGCCTAGACACCTATGGGAGTTATAGTTCCATGGAGCCAGGCTGGAGGGTGCTGTACTGGAGGGTGGGAAATGGCCACAGTGTAGAGGGAGGGTTGGGGGCCGGCCCACTGCTTTAGTTGGCCTGGAACCCCAACCTACTTTGTTCCCACTACTCACCTCCCCCAAGGTTTAAGGACCTTGGAACCTTTGTTTGTGACCCCCCTCCAAAAAGGAACAGGATTAGAGGGAGTGCCTAGGAAGAAAAGATGGGGGGGGATGAATTGGAAAATTCTTCCTTCTTCCCTGTGACCCTGGGAACTCCTAACCCCCCCACACACCCCTACTCCCCATCCCCTACCCACAAACAACCTTATCTAAGATGTAGAAATACCATTTGGAAATAGTCTCCCCATCGCGAAAGCAAGGGAGAGAAACTGGAGCCTAATGGCTTGAATTGGTTCCAGTCTGTGGGTTGCTAATAGTTTGTCCATCCCCTTTGGGGGCAGTGGAGTATTGCTAGTGTCACCACTGAACCACCAGCTTGTATTTTCCCAGGACCCATGAACAGCTGGTTCAGGTCGCCTGGAGATGCAACGGGAGCCAGCAGCTAACCTGCTCATCTCTGGGACCCCTTGTCCTCAGGACCTGCTGCAAGGAGTCTGGTGCCTGGGCTGGACCAAGGGTTGGGGTCTGTGTAGGTCTGAATGTTGGCACAGGGATTGCTGACAGTGTGGGCCAGGCAGTGGGGATTCCCCCGCAGTCCCAACTCTGGTCCTGTGTCAGCTTAGCCCACCAAGATGTTTGACTCCTATTAAGGACCCAGTAAGTCCTCTCCTTGCTCCACATATGGGCTGGATTTAGAGATCCAGTTACACCAAAAAGAGGTCTTCCCCACTGGCCTGGGAGCCAGGAAACAACTTTTAGCCTGGTTCTGTCCAAGCTGAGTCACCTTGGGGGAGGTTTTTAACCTCCCAGAGCCTCAGTTTCCTGACTGTGAAAGGAATGGGTTGAATCTGATGGTGTCTGATGGCCCCAGCAGGGGCTCTAAAATCCTTTGAGCCTGGCTTTCCCTCCCCTCAGCTGTCCTATCTCACCTGGATTTAGCAGGAAGAGCCTTAGATGTTGGAGTCAGGTTGGAAAGAGTCAGAAAAGAAAGAAGGAGATGGAACTCTTGTGTTGAAGCTTTGTTTGTATAGCAGGTATGCTGTATTTATGTAAGCTATGGTTATGGCATGGAAGCTGAAACCATCCCCAACTACCCCTTGGTGCCACAGCTGGTCAACCTTCCCCAAACCTAAGTCATGTTTTTGTAAAACAAAATGAAACAAACAAACAAAAAACCTTCAGCCAAGCCCAGTGTTACCCATCACAGAATAGTTGGTCTGTGTGCCCCCGGGATGTTGGTTAATGAGGCTTAATGTAGGTTATGTGAGGTGAGCATTGAAATTGACTGAAATCGAGAGGAGTGGGCTGTGATTGGTTCATTGGTTGGTCTGGTGGAGACAGATCTGTAAATAGGAGTTTTCAGGAGTTGGATAGGGGGTTTTCTCTTTGGTTTTGCTGGAGCTCCAATAGAGCCCTTTTGAAAATTATCCTGGAGTGGAGCTCAAGTCTCCCTATGGGGAAGGCGGGGAATAAACTCCAGCAAAAGGAAGAAAAGGGGGTTTGGATTGGCCTGGGAATAGCTTGACATTTTCTAACAGAGCCGTCCATCTGCGCACTCCCTTTGCTTATATTTGCATATGTATGTGGGGAGGTTGGGGGGAAACTGAGGCAGCAATCTTAGGAGATTTGGGGTCTACATCTCACTCCCTTTGCCCTGGGTTGATACCTGGCAGTGGAAGGAAAGCACGGAGTGGGGAGGGATGTCAAATTGTCTGCTTTTCCCTGGGGAACCCTCCTGTACGCAGAGTGGCAATGGTGGGAAGTGGGAGTTTTTTTCTCATGTTGTCCTTGCAGAGATCTTAGAGACGTGATGGGGCCCTTGAAGGAGTTTCCCTCAATTTTTTACCACTCCAAGGGCCTTCTGTCCTTTGGGTGCTGGTTGCTGGCTGGGCATGGAGGAGATCTGGGGCTAGTCTCATTGGGGTGCCTGAGTTTGTGACTGGTGGGGGTAGAGCAGGCAGGTTGGGATTTCTGGGAGCTGGTGGGAAGAGGGCGGAACTGTGAGGCCTCCACTCCCAGGGTCTGTGTGGAGAGCCAAAAAGAAAGGGTGTTTGTGCAGGGAGGGGTTGTCGGCACTGCTTGTGTGTAGGGAGCCAGATGTGAGAACAAGGGGCTCTGATCCAGCTGCTGGGTTCTCTCTTTTCTGCAGGGTAATGAAGCTGGATGCCAGCTGTGGCGCAACCACTGCAGAGGTCCCTAAACCAGAAACGGAGGCTGCACCAGATGCAGAGCCGAGCTCCAAGACCTGGCCATGAGAGGCAGGGGCCAAGTCCAGAGGGCTTGAGGCTGAGGCCGAGCCTCTGCGGGCCAACTCAGGGCCTGGGGTCAAGGGCGAGTCCTTAGGGGCCAAGTCCAGGTCTGAATCAGGGCCTGAGACTGAGGCCCAGCCATTGGACTTCGTGGTGGCCACAGAACGGGAGTTTGAGGAGGTGCTGGCCATTTCAGGGGGCATCTACGGTGGCCTCGACTACCTTCCCAGCCGCTACCACAGCTGGCTCCAGGATCCCGACCATACGGTGGTGCTGGCCAAGCGCAACGGAGGAGTGGTGAGCCGGGGGCGGGCCCAGGTGAAAAGGGGGAAGCCACGTGCGGGTGCGTGGATTTTAGGGAGCCGAGGGGGCGGGCCTCTCCCCAGGCATCGTCGGGCTGCTGAGGAAATAGAGGCTGCACTGGGACCACAGTGTAGGCGTAGAGATCCAGGGGCTAGGTCAGTGAGGGTGGGGTGGGTGACTGCGGACGCGGAGGACCTGGAGGAACCGGTGAGGGCTTCGAAGTCTGAGGATCCATTCGAGGAGTTTCTGGGGACAAGAGCACAAAAAGAGGGGAGCAGGAAGAGGGGGTGGGCTAGAGGTGGCAGCAGCTAGACTGGGACGGGACCTGGGAGCAGATGGAACTCGCACCAAGAGCATCTGGAAGCCGGGAGCAGGACGAGCACAGCGTGGGGCTGGGGAAGAGGTAAGAGGCAGCGCAGCCGTAGGTGCCAGGGGGCGAGGCAATGTTCTGGGGGTGGAGCCAAGGAAAGGGACGTCGCGAGCGATCCGGGACTTGTTACACGCGGAGCTGGAGCATCGCAAGAGGTGGAAGAGGCTCCGGCGAATGACTGTTCTGCCGGCTCTGGAATCTGAGCCCCAAGTGCTGAGGAGAGTTCCCCGGGCCGCCGCAGGCCTGGCCTGGCGCCCAGGCGGTGACGACCGAGCGCTCAGCGTGTGGGAAGAGGCGAGCCGGCAGCCCTGGCAGGGGCGGAGGCGGAGAGCGGGCCCCCTAACGGCCTCGGCCCGCAGATCGCGCTGGAGTCGGTGAACGTGATCGACGCCGGGGAGACTGCGCTGGTGGAGGGGCTGCGCGTGGCGCCCCGGGAGCGCGGCAAGGGCGTGGCCGGGCTGCTGCAGCGCTTCTGCTCGCAGCTGGTCAAGCGACAGCACCCGGGGGTCAAGGTGGCACGGCTCACCCGGGACGACCAGCTGGGCCCCCGGGAGCTGAAGAAATACCGCCTAATCACCAAGCAGGTGAGAAGGTCAAGGTAGCTCGGAGGGCTAGGCCTGTCTGCTGGGGCATACGGGCGGCCCTCCCCACCCCCACCCGAACACGGGCTTGCTTCCCTCCTGGCTCTACTGAGTGGAGCGGCCCATGAGCCTTGCCCTGGGACTCCCAGTCTTTACTCAGACTCTTTTGGCCAGGAAAAGTCACACTCTCTATTCCCAGCCTGAAACCGTCTGTCCTTATATTCCAACTTCTGTGACCCTGCCTCTACGATCCTGCCTCTCTTCGGGGACCCAAGCATCCTAATCTGAGCCATTGCCTTCCCTCTCCCTCGCTTTCACTCCCCCGGAGACCCAGGGACCCACACCGCCTCCCTGGTTACTCCACGCTGATCCCACCTCTCCTTAGGGATCCAGATATTCGGAGTCCTTGCCCTTGGTGCCTCCCTGCTGCGCTTGAAACCCAGATTTTTTCATACCCCACCTGGCCCGGGCCCCTCACTGTCGGTCCTCCCACGGGGCCAGCCCTGGGGCGCTCACTCGTGCCCCCCGCAGGGCATCCTTTTGGTCCGATTCAACGCGTCCGCACTACTGGCTGGGCTGGGCGCGCGGCTGGCAGCGCTGCGGACCTCGGCACGTTCTCGCCACTGCCCACCGAGGCTGTGTCCGAGGCAGGCGGCGACGTGGCACGCCTCTTGCTGTCGCCCTCCGTGCAGCGTGACGTGCTTCCGGGTGGGACCATCATCCAGGACTGGCAGCCCTACCGGCCAAGCGAGAGCAACCTGCGCCTGCTGGCGGCCAAGGGCCTGGAGTGGCGCGTGGACAGCCGCGCGCGCCCGCGCGTGCTCACGCTGTGCACGCGCCCCTTCCCCATCCCGCATGGCGGCGACGGCACTTGGCGCTAACTAAACATCGACGCCTTTGGCAGCGATGGCGCGCAGGTGCAGAGCCAGCTGTTGTGGCACCTGCAGCGCCAGGCCCCGCGCCTCGCCGGCCTCAACGTCATGTGCCAGCTCTTCCTGGCGCCCCAGCTGTGGTCACAGCTGGCTGATTTCTGCCAGGTCGGCCTGGGGCTAGAACTGGTCGGGGGTTACACTGAACAGTACCTGCTGGAGGCCGACATCTGAGGTCTCAGAGCCGAGAGAGGCAGTACTTTAGACCCGCTCTCTCGCGCTGATCCTCAGCCCCACCCCTGCCATTTAGAACCTCCGACCCCTCGGAAGTAGGCTCAGATTCCTACCCCTACCCCTGCGGGTCCCCCACCTTGCCTTTTCTCCTAACCTCTGCCATCTTGCCTCTAGTGTCCCCAAATGTCCTGACCTGAACCGCTGGATTTGGGGGAGCCCCCTGAGCTGCTGTTATCTATCCTCTCCGCTTTCAAAGAACTGGTCCCTTCGCAGGCTTCAGAGTCCTACCCTGTCATCGCCCCGGCCTGGAGTGAACTCCGCCCTTCCTGTCCCTCAGTGGGTGGAAGCGAGCAGAAGGGTGTGCCCAGCGCTGGTCTGGCCAGCAGCCACCCGTTCCGTGTTTCTTTCCTTTCTCCCGCCCTTTCTAAAGCCCTCAGAGCCGGCCCTGCGCTCTTCTCACTGTTCCCTCACCCTCTGGTGCCTCCAGATCAGTGTCCTCTCCCCGCTTCTCTCTGTCCCCCTATCCTCCTCCTCCCTGGAGCTCCCTGACTCTTAGCTCCTCAGTGCCCATTTTCCTGCCCCTCTGTTCCCCTTCGCCGTGACCTCCTCATCGCTGGCCCACTGTGCAATGTGGAGAGAGACTCCGTTAAGGAAATGTGTTTATAATGCTCCCCCATTCGGCTCCCTGTTTACCTCGGTGAGGCACTTTCCTGAGCCTGCCGCTCTGACTGGGGTTTCCTCCAACTTTGCATGCCCTTGCTTTTTCGCAGGGCTCCTCCCCCAGGCCCCCAACTCACCAGGGGGCTCCGGCTGGAGAGTTTGGTGCAGTGGAGGGCAGGTCCCTCAGCCAGGCATGGGGGCTGTCTCCTGGTTCCAACCAGGCTGCCTTCTAGTGCGACTGGAACCCTACCTCCCAGTATTTCTGGACACCGCTCCCTTCTTCTGGATCATTTATGCTTTTTGGACTTTGAGAGTCTTCTATTTAAATGTAAGTAGTAACAGCTGCATTTGCACAGCGCTGTCTCCAACACCAGATCCCCACATCCAAGGCAAAGGGAGGAAACAGGCTCAAAAAGATCAAAGTGACTTCTAAGTAACTCACAGGAGATGGGAAGCTCCCAGGGAGAGAACCCAGGTGGCCCGAGCCCAGAGGATGCCCCAGAACCTCACACTGTGTCATGGTGTTAGCTTGAACTTCTCCCTGGACAAGGGACAATTGCTGGGAAAATGTTGATAGCCAGGGTTTGTTGGGGATGGAATCCAAGGTGTGGGCAGAGGAGGGCCCAGGATGGGGAAGGTGGGCAAAGGGGACAGCTACTGCTTGACCACTTTCCCCAGCTGTGGTTTTTCTGCTGTGCTGCTCTGCCTTGGCTGCCTCCTGCTCCTGGCCATGCTGCCACCCTCCTTGTCACTGCCACCATGGCTGTAAGGCAATAAAATGGACCTTTTGCCCACCCTTTGTGTTTGTTTCACTTCTTCCCAGTGGGGAGGGATGAGACATATTATCTTCCCCTTTTCCCTAGCAGCCTGTATTAGAGAGGATCTCTAAGCCCTGTGGCAATGGGGCTAATGACTTCCTGGGGGGGGGGAAGTTGCTGGGGAGGGCTGCTGGCCGTTGTACGCCCTCACCCCCACCCCTGCCGAGCAAGGCAAGAAGCGTCTGCTCAGAACCGAGGCGAGCAGCAGCGCGGCGCCCTGACTAGCCCGGGCCCTTGCTTTCCCCTCAGACCCGGGAGTCGGCTGCAACCCAAATTCTGTGGGTTCTTCTCCCAAGTTCCTCTTGACATCCGGGACCAGCTTCCTTCAGCCCCAGGATCCAAGCATCTAACTCCCAGCTCTCGACTCACCCATGGCCAGCCGCGCGCCTCGCTCTCCCCATTTCTGGCTGGGCAACCCGTGGTGGGGGGAGGAGGTGGAGGGAGCCTGGGCACCGCCCCCCGGGAGCCGAGCTCTGGAGCGGCGGAGACTGCGATCCCGGAAAGTAACACGCGGGGGCGCCAGGACGTGTGCGGACGCGGGCGAGGCAGCGCAAGGTGGTTCTCGTCCGTGTGAGTGTGTCCATGGGCGTCTTTGTGTGTCTGCGTCTCTGTACATGTGTGTACGAGTCACGGGGTGTTTGGGAGGTATGTATTCGGGACAATGTGTCTGGTGTATCCCAGAATCAGGTACCCCAAGTGGCTTTTTGGTGAGGACGATGCTTGATGTTACTATGTACGTGTGGATGGGGAGGCAGGTGACTTGTGTGTACTGTGGCGTGTGCATAGTGCAGCCTGTGAGTCCCTGAAACCACATCTTGAATTTCTAAAGTCAAATGTTTTGACTTTAGAGGGTTAAAGTCTGAGGATTTTGACCCCTTCCCACTACCCCTAAAAGGAATGAGAACTTTCAGAGCAAATCTCCATTGACCTGGACGCATCTTTAGCATAGGTCTTGACTGCTAGGCTAGGTGTGACATTGTGTTTGTGTAAGTGGGTGTGTCTCAGAATCTCAGCGAACTCTGTATGACAGTGTCTTGTGTGTGTGGCGAGTGGATGCTGGGAGGGGCTGGTTCAAGATTATGGAAGCGCAGAATTTCCTTTCTCTTACTAGTTTGTGGATACCACATTCATGATGTGTGTGTGTGTGTGTGTGTGTGTGCGCGCGCGCGTGCGCGCGTGCGCGTGTACCTGTATTTGTGTCTCAGTCTCCAGTGGCTGTCTCTCTTTGTGTCTCTCCCCATCTCTGTCTCTCTCTCTCTCTCTCTGCCTTTCTTGGTGACTCATCTCTGCAGCGTTGCCCTCCCCCGGCTCTCTGGGTCTCCCCTCCCCCACTCAGGAGTGGGTGGGGGTCTGAGGGAATGGGACCCCGGACTAAAAATCAGGGTGAGCACCCCTTTCTCATCACTCATCATTCCAGACCCCCCCGTGTGGCCCCCAGCCCTCTCCCCATCCCTGTCCCAGGACTCCACACCCCTGGGGTGGGTAGCAGGTAAGGCAATGTGTTCTAAATGGGTTCATTTTCAGGGGGCCTTCAGCCCCTTCCTTCAATTCAAAGTGGGGACCCCTGCCCCTTTCACAAAGTGCCCCCTCCCTGGCTGTCCCCCTATGGCTGACGCAATGAAAGGCTGCAGAGGTGAGTCACCAGTTGGGGGGAGGGGGAGGAGAAGAGGGGGACGGTGAGCTTCAGGGACCCCAAGCCCCTGCCCCCTCTTTCTCTCCCAGACCTTCTCAGGGAAAAGACCCAGTCCTCTGCCCCCTCCTCTGGTTTTCCAGATCCTCAGCTGGGATCACTACTCTGTGGACCCCATCTTCCCCTGCTACCCTCTTGGAGAGCATGGGCGGTTCAGAAACAAAGACAGAGATGGATTCATACAAACAACTCAGAGCAAATGCCAGGCATCCCCTCCAGGTCCCCATCTCAGCTCTGCCTCTTCCAGCTCTCTCCCTCCATTTCTCTTTCTTTCCTGCTATCTCCCTCCTCTCCCCATCCCAGGAACCTGTCCGTAGTCCAGTCCTTTTCAAGAAGCCCCTAGAGGCAGCAGGGTATGAAGGGCTCACGCCTGGTAGGTAGGTGTGTGTGTGTGTGTGTGTGTGTGTGTGTGTGTGCGCGCGCGCGTGTGTGAATGAGCTGACCCCGGTAGGGAACTGGGATGGAGAGAGGTAGAAAGAGACCGTGCAGACATGAGGGGTCAAGACCCAGATTGTGGAACCCCCAAGCCTATTGCCTTTGGTGCTTCATGCTTCCACCTCCCCTCATCCAACCATAGGATGACCCAGGCTCTTGGGATGTCAATTTCTGAGAAGCTCTCCTGGGCTTCTGAGCTTAAGTGGAGGGAAGGAGGGATGGGGAGTTGAGGGAAAATGGAGGAATGGTGAACACTCTGAAAACAAGGGCCAGGGACCCAGAACTTGGGGGCTGCAGGTGAGTGGCTTGGACTCTGAGGCTTTACTGCACAGAGATCTAGAAATGAAGGTGAATGGGGGGAGGGGCAAGAAAGATCAAAGCACAGGGAAGTCCACATAGCCACCAACGTATACCAACGTATAAGTATGGAAGGATCCAGAGAAATGCACAAAGTCACACACACACACACATACACATACGATTGTGTACCACCAAGCCAGGCACATGTTTCAGACACCAGCAGATGTCCAGAACTAGGTGCACTCAAAGACTCGCAACTGCATAGGTATACAGGCATTCAGAAGAGATCGGAACCCACACACACAGACACCTGGAAACAAGTAAAAACACAGACGCACAGATTGCAAGAGAAGATCACATATTTAAATTGGAAGCACTGCCATGCCCATCCACTCTCAATCTGATTAAATACACAATTGGTCCCCCGCATTCCCTTTCTTTTTCTCCCCCCCCCACGCCCTGTCCGATGTAACTCATTAATCTCTGTACACACAAAAACACACATACACACTCATGTACATGTATGTACAGGTGCGTGCATGCGCATACACACACACACACACACACAGGCAAATACATAATTTCTCTCGGTGTCTGTCTCCCCTCATCTTGCACTTGGTCTCTAATCCCCAGCAGCCTCTCAGTCAGACCCCCTAGGCTCCCTCTCTCCCCCTTCCTTCTCTCTCGGATGGCTTCCCCTCCCCCTCTCCAGATGTCTGAGCCATCTCTCTCTGATTCATCCTCCTCGCGAAGGTAACGTGACCCCCTCCCCACCCCGCTGCTCTCTGTAACCAGGCTGGCAAGATGAAGGGGAGATGGGGAGGGAAAAGAGGAAGGAGGGGAGCCCAGAGGGGCATGGGGAGACCCTGAAGAGTTTTGTGTGTGGGGGGGTGAGGCACTGCCTCAGGGTCTCCGGTCCCCTCCTTTCCCTCCTTTCTTTGGAATCTCCAGTCACCTTGGTTCTCAGTGTTTTTTTTATCCTTTAGTCTGATCCTTCTACCTGTTCCAGATTCCTTCTTTCCTTCACCCTCCCCTGTCCCCATCTCTTCTCTCTTTCCTCTCTCTCCACTCCTCCCCACCTCTTTTCCCGCAGAGCT